TCGATAATGACGATGACTAATACCTACATTTTAGATTGATCGTGCAGCTTCGTTTATTTACACATAAATATACCAACACATAACCATAATCAATGTCGAAGATTTGAGAGTTACTTTTGGGAACAAAACGATATACCGGAATAAATCTCCATGTGAGATGTTCCTCCGATTTGCACTGTCATACTCCTTTAAGTTTTTATTCTTTCCAAAGTTTTCGATTCTATCGAGGGCAACACAATATTGTGGATTCGATTGTGATATTCATGCAGCAATGAATTTATTGATTATTATTATTAATTAATATTAATATATATAATATAATTAATATTAATATTATTATTAATTAATATTATAACAGATAACAGAAGGAGCTGACCCCCCAAAATCGATAACCTTTTGTTTTCTCACAGGATTCGGCGGCGTAAACAATGGGAATTGGAGTGACAAATCATATTAGGTCTCACTACTTTAGGCGTGATATTGAGCCGGGTTACAACAAAGCTGTATTTTGATTGAATCATCGTGTGGCAGTACCGCTAGTGTCTAAATATATTCCCCTTTACAGTTGCTTGGATGGTCAATGAGAGGTTGATTCCGTCACTGATGCACCAAAAACTGTTGTGGGCTGCGAAATACTGGACCAACAATAGTTCACTTGAACCAACAGGCTAAGTTCAGCTATTGTAGTGACTTAGTTCACCTTCTCCTCCTTCTTATCTTTATTAGAAACATCATCATTGTAGAAAATACCTGGTCGTCCCAAATCGACTTCTTCCAAACATCTCTTACAGAGATCCTATCGGCTTAGCTGCGAGTTGCCTTTCCAAGTCCGATTCGTTACTTCGCGTCCCAACGGATATAAAATGCAGAATCAATAACCAAGATTCGTGAGATACGGTTCTATAATGCATGATCAATCATCTGTAACGAAATAATCATGTACAACCAGTGTTTGCAAGCAAGCAAGTCTGAGACGTAAGCGTACTTTGTGATGTGTTCACGCTGTCATTTAAAATCTTCAAAATGTGCGCGTCGAAATACGTTTGTATAATCGAGCGATATAAACAAGTGGCAGTTCAGTTCAGTTCTCGCAGGACGAATTGTGGCTCTTGCAAATCGAGCCTCCAGATTTATGTGTTGTCGGCGAGTTTCCTTGGCTTCCAACACTTCGATATGCAATTTTGCTGAGAGGCGGAAATATTCCATTTCGCCTGTTCGCCGAGCTTGGCAATTTGTTTGCAAACGTTTCATCACCAGCCGAGGTGACATTATCAGTGCTTGTGAAGTGAACTGAAGGCAGAAATATGTGGTGCAGTGTCACATCCCTTGTGGTTAGGTTATATGTGGTACTAAATGCTTACCTCAGGGAAAACCGCTATCCAACACTCATCAAGTGTCTTTTTAAATGCATTCACTGCAGCCTACCACTGACAGCGGCAACCCGTTCCACAGCGGAATTACTCTGTTAGTGAAAAACGTTGCTCTCAGTTGCAGCCTGGAGTGGCTTCGCTGCAGCCGTAAGTTATGTCCCCGCGTGCCTCTATGCGGAACCCAGGAGAACAGGTCGTCAAACCTAAGACCTGACATATCCTTGACGATCTTAAATGTTTGGATTAGGTCTCCTGTCATCCGCCTCCGTGTGAGGGAGAACAGATTAAAATCTATGAGCCGCTGTTCATAGCTCTTCCCCCGTGGCCCAGCTATCATTCCCTTGGCTAGACCTTGAACCCTCTCTAAGGTATCGACGCCCCTCCGAATGAACGGAGCCCCCGCCTGCACACAATATTCCGGATGCGGGCGATCCCTGGTTTTCTGCGCGTCATCGTTGTGCAGAGACGAAACGGTTATCTTCTGGCTTTTTTGCTGCCTTCACACATTGGGTGCTGGGTTTGAAATCCCACGTGACCACTATGCCTAGATCCTTTGCCTCGTGCACCCTTTGCATCGACAGGCTCCTTGCTGTCTCTTCGTCATTTCTGGTCGTCAGTCACATTTAGAAACATTTAGTGACAGATCCCATTATTCGGCCCATCTTCGTACTACCTTTATGTCCCTTGCTAGATCCTACCCAGCTATCTTGACGTCATCTGCAAACAGAAAACAGGGATTTTGGAGATCCCGTGCTAGGTCGTTTATGTATAGCAGGAACAGCAGTGGTCCAAGTACGGGTACGCCGCTTGTGACTACTTCCTCCTCGGATGTGTGAACTCCTAATTTTACACTAGACATCCTATGCGCAGTGTTCGCATACGGTTCGAAATTTATATTTAATAGATTTACTACGAAGTAGTATTTGAAAGAAATGTTAAGGTGTGAAATATGGATAATTGTCGCGATCTTAATGTGGGTGGGATGTGCCACATTAGTAGAACGATAAACCAAGCAAAGAAAATGAAGTGCAAAAATGGAGGTGTAACCATCACGCTACTGAAATAGTGAATCATTAAACCAATTGTATCAACGAATATTTCGCGTTAATAACATACTCCCATTGTCACTCGTAATAGGAATCTTCCTGCTGAGTGACTGATCTGAACGGTTTTCCGGTAGACACAAACTCCGGTCATCGCGAGTTAGGAGACCCGTTGTTGTTATGAGCTGGACGTCCCGTACTCTCCCATCATTAGCTGGTAGTATTTTGTCGACTATCGGCTACTTCCAAATCCCACGTGGTGAATTTTTTTCAATTACTAACACTAAGTCTCCGACCGACAGCTCCGGCGTGTTGTCGATTCACCTTTTTTCCTGCAAGAGTCGTAGGTATGCTCTAGTACACTTCTTCTATGGTGAAACGGACATGTTTTGTACTTGTCACCATCTTCGATTCAATTTACTCAGGCTACTTGGCGTTGCTGTGGATGCTTGGCTGTTTATGCCCAGCAAGAAGTGATTGGGGGTGAGTACGGAGTACTCATTTGGATCCGAACTATTTTTCACTAGTGGTCTGTCGTTCATTATCTGTTCGACCTCGGTCATCACCATCGAGAATACAGTCTCGTCGATGACTTATGACCATAGTATTGAACTTAGTATTCGTCGGACCCATCGGATGAGGCGCACCCAGATCCCTCCTCTGTGGCTTGCTGTTGGAGNACCCAGACACAACCAGCAAGTACTTGTCTTTTACTTCCTGGGTTCCATTGTTTTAGTATTTTTTTCATTTCACTTTCCGCGCCCTTGAATTTTTGCCCATTATCACTAAACAACCTTCTTGGGCATCGTCGTCGGGCGACAAACTTCGTGAACGCACATATAAAGGAAATTGTACCCATATTCGGAACGACTTCGACGTGCACGGCCCTTATACTAAGACACGTAAACAAGCAGTAGTATCTTCTTCCTGACCTTCCCTCAAGTTTTACTTCAAACGTTGCCAAAATAATCAACCCCCGAACACATGAAAGGCGGAATATACGGTTCAGTTAGATCTTTTGATAGTGGGGGGGGGGCATGAGCTGATGACAGCGCACCGAGTACCACTTCCCCCAATGAAAACAGAAATCGATCACCCCTTTAATTGTGGATTGGGCCTTTATTATCCAATACGTTTCTC